CCCCCCCCCCCCCCCCCCCCCCCCTCCCTTTCCTCCCCTTCTCCTTCCCCTACCCTGTGTAGAAGTAAGAGTCGACTGGTGTGCCTTCACAACACGAAGATCTCTGTATAAACCTTTTACAATGACATTATTCAGAGAGCTTAGTAATCTATTTTTTATTTAAAAAAATCGATAAACATATCATTCGAATGGCACCGCATTATACATCATCATGTCTAGGTGAATAGCCATCAATTAAGCGAAACTTATTTCACTCCTATCTATAAGGAGTAGAGCAATGTAGAGGAGCCTAATGAAGAATACTTGAAAATCTATCTGAACAGGCACGACGAGTTGTCGAAATGCTCAAACCGGCTATCGGACTTAACTACTGCGATTCCAAGCGGAAACACTGCTGAGGATAAGAAATTGAGTAGAAGCGACGGCACCCTTTGATGGCTTACATAATTGTGCAAGCCTTTCTTTTTGGACCTTTGCCGTCAGGGTCTTCCATTGTCAACGCCAAGGAACGTTTCTTCTCGAGAGCCAATAATTGTTGAAAGAGCTCGGTAATGTTGTTGTTGTTTTTGGCACTTGTCTCGATAAATCCTGTTCCCCATTTGGCAGCCAATTTCGCCCCTGTCTCTCGGGCAACTTCTCGTCGCTGAACGAATGTCATTAATTGTAGTTAGGAATGTTTGGAAGATAGCGAGCGAAAAACATAGAGATGGGCTAAAAACGCACTTCTTGGTCGTCACTTTTGTTGCCGACCAACATGATTGGCACTTCTGTCAAGCTGTTTCCCTTTACTTCCATCAACGTTGTCACAATTGGAGCCAGCTCTTCTAGCGACTGCTTACTGAAAAACAAACATGTGGTGAATGAAGAGATGAATCGGTAATCGCCACCTTTAAAAAGTTGAAAAGGACCTTTCAAAAAGTACCCTTCTTATTACTACCCCGTCCACGTTTTGTGAACCGTTTTAAGGTGCGGAGTTTCAATGAACAACCTCAGTATGAACAACCTCTATAGTCGAGCCGATTTGAAATCATGTCAAATTTAATGGTTGACCAATGTTTGTCAGTGAACGAAATCGAAGCACTTTCTCCTTGTCATTAGATTACGCCCGTATGGGAAACCAGAGGGCTCAAGGCGCTAAGCATCATTTTGACGTGCAAAGATGGATAGGGAGCAATTACTTGGAAACATGCCAGCTTTTTAAGAGGACATTATTAAGTGAAGTAGGAAGTGCTCCCTAGCAAGACTATGGCTGTACCAATAAGATGACCTAAGAAAAATAGAATTGAATGGTATAAAAAAAACTAGGGATAGCATAAACTGACGGGGTGAACTCTCATTGCTGAAGTGCCCTAATGAACACTTAGGAGAAGGATCAAGAGGCGGACGAATTCTCTTTCATTCACCACACACCATGTCCCTTGATTAGGTTGATTTCATTGCGCCAGGGTGTTTTGTTGCTGAGATTTCGTCCTTCCCAAATGAACCTGTGGGCGGTATTCTGTAAGTTATGGAGTACAGTAAGAGCTCCCCGTTCAGGTTGCTACAAAGACTCCTTTTCCTTTGGAAATGTAACAAACACATGCATCGTCCTTTGTCTGACTTGACTGACTGACATATTATAGCTTCCCTATTCTGCTTATGCATTATAAATGGTTTATTTTCTCATCTTCTATGTCATTCCCGTCACTTCCCGTTATCGCCCGTCTTCCTTCCCTGATTACCAGATCGACCAGTAGGAAAGAAAGCGGTGATGACTTTTAGTACAAGTCAACAGCACTATGCCTTTCAGAAGCTTGGAAAGCGCTCAGGGTTTGAGCACATCGCCTTTGAAAAAAACAAGTAGTAATTCGAATAAGTTAGAAGAACTACTTGATAACTTTGTCATACAGCCAACATAATAAAGATAAAAAGGCAAATTTTCGGTATTAATCAATCCCGTGTAAGGGATGCGCCCCCATTTGTCTTACATTTGAAATCGTAGTGGGTGTTTATTGCCTGCGATGCCTATACAATGATTTGCCGTGGCCAGCTACAAGACGATGCTTCTACCCTTCCAGACGATTTTGGCCCCAATTAGCAGATCCAGGAAAGGCAAAAAGCTTAGTCGGCTTGGACGGATATAGATCGATGATATAATGCCCCAGTCCATGCATGTGATAGGCTATTCCACGTGCCTCTACACGAACTACGCCCAAATGGCCATTGAAGACGTAGCGCTACTGTAACTTCCTTTCTTTGGTGTGCTTACAATGCAACCTCATTGCAGAATTTCATCTTCTAATTTCAGGAAAACCCTAATTGTTGAAGCTTTTTTTAGAAGGCGTATACTATAAGAGGCTTTCCAATTCTTTTCTTTTTTTCCCATCATCGACTCAAAAGGCTGCTTATTTCGAAGCAAATTCATTCCTAGCCTTTCCGCTACTTCTTTGTGCTCCGTGCCAAAAAAGTTTGACGGTAGAGTATAATGAGCTTCTAAGCACTTTTGGCGGTGGGAATTCCCATCTAGGATCATAAACTATTCCTCTTCACATAGCTGTGAACGAATTTCCTGGGATTGCGAAAAAAAGCCTGAAATTTCAATAAAATATTCGAGTTCCCACCAGTTTAACGGATCCATAGGAAGAACTAAGCATTGGTAATGATTTCATTATGATCTCTCTGAACTAAGAGATCTTATCTCTGTGAGCGACCGATCCGCTCTGAGCCTCGAGTCAGATGACGACCACTTCACAAACTCTCCACTACTGCTTGGGAATTGGTTGGACGGAAGGGGTATGTGTACTTACGTGCGCCCGAGGATGCGCGCGGCAAGTTGCGCGGGGAAGTGC